GAAAAAAAAAAAAAAAAAAAAAAGGAGACATGTTTAATCCTTAATTTTATCCCCCTGCCCCTTTTCTTTAGTGTGGGGACCTGAAATAGAAAGGTAAACATTAAACTCAGTCCCGGGAACTCCCTGGCGGTCCAGTGGTTAGGACTCTGTGCTTTCACTGCCGAGGACCCAGGTTCAATCCCTGGTCGGGGAACTAAGATCCTGCAAGCTGAGCAGCACAGCCGCCCCCCCCGCCCTCCCCCCAGCCACACATACACAATAAAACACACATTAGGGCTTCCCTGGTGGTGCAGTGGTTAAGAATCTGCCTGCCAATGCAGGGGACACAGGTTCGAGCCCTGGTCTGGGAAGATCCCACATGCCATGGAGCAACTAAGCCCGTGTGCCACAACTACTGAGCCTGTACTCTAGAGCCCCGCGTGCCACAACTGCTAAAGCCCACATGCCTAGAGCCCGTGCTCCGCAACAAGAGAGGCCACTGCAGTGAGAAGCCCGCACACCACAACCAAGAGTAAACCCTCGCTCACTGCAACTAGAGAAAGCCTGCATGCAGCAAGACCCAACGCAGCCAAAAATAAATAGATAAAATAAGTAAATTTATTTTAAAAAAAAAAACACCCACACATTAAACTCAGCCCTTAAAGGAAACTAAATTTTTTGGGTTTGTGTAAGCTTGTGTGTAAATAACTCTTGTGCAAGATTGTTTACACATGAATCTGATAACTATTTTGCATTTTTTAGGGCTCATAAATATGAGCAGTGTTCTGTTAAAGAACAAAATGTTTTACAAATCCTATCTTTAAAAAAGTATTCGTTGGGCCTCCCTGGTGGCGCAGTGGTTGGGAGTCCGCCTGCCGGTGCAGGGGATGCGGGTTCGTGCCCCGGTCTGGGAGGATCCCACGTGCCGCGTAGCGGCTGGGCCCGTGAGCCGTGGCCGCTGAGCTTGCGTGTCCGGCAACGGGAGGGGCCACGACAGTGGGAGGCCCACATATCGCAAAAAAAAAAAAAAAGTATTCGTAATGATTAAATGCACACTCTTTTGGTAGTCTTCTTATAAATATTCATTATAATTCAGTGGTGTAGTTTTTTCCTTTCTTTTCTTTTTTAATTGTATGGTTGAGCCAGACTGTGAGGTTGAACTGAATAGCTTGATTGTGATACCTTAGTCAAATGAGCAAAGACATATTCAAGTCACAGGATGCAAAATGTATTAACATTCACTGTATAATCTGTGGCTTGAATATCTGCCGTTAGCATTCCTAAGTGATCTACTGGATATTCTTTCTGCTTTAAATAGTCTTGACCATTTATTTAATATTCGAAGCTTTTTACTATTTATTATTTGTTTATTCATTAGTTGGATACTGAAATTCCAGTAATGAACTTTTGCTATTAATTAAAATGTTACAAAGAAACCCAATATGTTCAAAGACTTAAGAAATATTAAGCCCATTTCTGCCATTGTACCTCATTTGGAATTGGCAAGAAAGTCTTTCCTAATTTAAAAGTAAATTCAGCGTATGATTTCAACTTTTCTTTATGAAAATCATTTTTTGGACATCAATTGCTATCATAAATTTTCACTGTTTTATTTATCTTCAGTATGAGAATTTGAAGATCATATAGGTATGTAGT